GCTAGCAAACTCTCTCTGCATTTGAGAAAATATATTTTATAGTTGCTTCCATCTCAGCACACAAGGTTGGTGGACGTATTTCTTACAACCAAGACCACCATTAAGGTGTGGAATATACTATATCGAGAAATTCATGCTTCTGCTGTCTGGTCTAGAGTCGCTCCTCTGTCAGTATAAAAACTAGTTATGCCTGAATAAGATGCATAATATTGGTCCTCCCATTCCATTCATTGTATTAACGATTTTTTTTATCTTTTAATTTTTTTGAATTTCTATTCACATCTGCACTTTTTGTAAAATGAAAAAATTTACATTTACATATTACATATAAGAGTTTACTACCCAACATTGGGAGGTATGAAATAGAGTGAGTCAGTGGGCCTATAGAGGACATGTCAGTGACACTAAACCTATAAAGTTGAGAAAGATGCATGGAGATATTCTTTAATAAATTACTTTTTCCTATTTGAATTGAATCATTATTTTGACATATTTTAGTTCAATGTTCTACTAATTTTTTTTTGTTTCCATATGAGTGAAAATACATTTAATTAAAAGACCACTATAGGCACCCAAACCACTTCAGCTCAATGAAGTAGTCTGGGTGCCAGGTCCATCTAGGGTTAACCCTGCAGCAGTAAACATAGAAGTTTCAGAGAAACTGCTATGTTTACATTAGGGTTAATCCAGTCTCTAGTGGCTGTCTTATTGAAAATCACAGTGAGAAGACGCATACGTATATCAGTTGGAAACCCAAAAAGTGACAACGCTGTCTGTGGTTGTTGATGTATTTCACATTGCATTTTGGAAACGTTGAGAAACTTTTAATCCCTTTTGGACAATTTCTCATATCAAAACACATCTTAACACCTGGAGTTAAAACAAATGTTATTATAATTAGCATTCACTCTACACTCCACACCTAACACTTTGAAGGTGCAATATATTTCTATTGTGGCACCAATTTTTATTTAAAAAAAAATATATTTTTGGGTGCAATTATAGCCCTAAGTTTTTGAGGTAGTTATTTCAGTCTGCCACATTTGATGGGAACAGTTGCTGAACGGCAAATTTCAAATCTTTCCACAGACTAAAATTGGTTTAAAGGTCTGCATTTTGGCTGGAACGCTACAACATATAAAAAATTCTTGATTTTAAACTACTGTACTGTATCTTTGGCAATGTTTTTAGAGACAATATGCTATGGGGTGTTCTGCAAAACACCAGTTACTAGTCTTTTGCAGACAGGCCTCTAGAATCATCCTAATCATCCATCCATTTTGACCTCAATCCTAACCAGTTTCCAAGTGGTCATAAAAAAAAAAAAAAAAAAACTATACTCTTGGCTGATGCCACCACCATGATTCACTGTGGTCAATGAGCAGTGTAGCCTTTTGCCCTAAGGACAAATGCTCAGTTTTCTTCTCATCAGACCAGATAACACATTTTCACACTGGGAGATTACAAAAAGGCATCTGGGGAGACAGAAAGTTTTATATTTTTCATCTTCTTCCATGTCCATGAAGCTCAGATTTGTGGCGAGTGTGAGTTATTATAACACCACCATTGGTTTCTTCTGTCTTAGCTGGTGATCTCTACAGCTCCTTCAGAATTAATGTTGGCTGTGTCTTGGACTATTGCTCTGCTAACTCATAGAAAGATCCAGTTTTTTGGGGGCGGAGCAGTACGCACTACAGAGATTCCCTAATGATCATATCAAGACTTCAATTGAGTCTATTATCCCCCGGGGTCCCTTCCAACGCTGCTGCTGGCCCATGCTGATCGATGCAGTTCACAACCTGAGTGAAGTGGCACTGGCAAGATGGCGAATGCGCCTCTACGTTTGGAGCCAGCACCTACGAAATACTGTGACATGGTAGAGCAGTCTCTCAGAAAGCTAGACCACGTTCCGTCCAATGCTCTATCCAACACTTCTGGACAGAGCTGGAGAAATGCACAGCCCCCACATTACACTTACCTCGGAACGATTTGAGGAGGGAGAGTAGCTGGATGCGGGGGGTCCTCTCTCTGTCACAGCCTTGATGCACATCTACCTAGGCTGAATGCCCCAAAGGGGTTTGCCCGAGAAGCATCAACCTAATCGCCAGAAGACCGCCAGCCACTGGCGGCGGCAGAACACATGGGCCTTCTACCGCACCCGATTTGGGAAGAATTTGGACTCACAGAGTTCCCAAGCCCGTGTCACATGGATACTGGCCCTCACACAGGCCTGAGGCAAGGGAGGGACATCACATTGTCCCCAACTCACCACTGCCCTCGGACTCCTCCATATTCCCGCATTCTCTTGGCCCAAGAGCACGAGTCTCCTGAACTGCATTTCATGGATGCTTCCCTACTGCTTATATGCACAGAATCGCCATCTGATACTTTATGTTATGCCATACTTTTATTTTATATGCCATCAATTTGATTTTGCAGTTCTGAGGGGGGGATGCCGTGTCCCAGTGACTTATTAAGCATGTTTTAACTACCGTGATCTAGTTACAGACAGCATGTCTCAATAGTTGAATAACAGTCTAGCTTGTGTTTTCATGTTGATTACTAATATACTAAATGTCTTGGCTAGTCATCTCTCTCATTGAAGAAAGAAAAAAAAGTGCTATGATTTTGAATGCCACACACTGTATTAACTATTGTCTTATTGTCCATGCAATCGCTGTTGGGGCATTGTGAGAATGCTTGTAATAACGCGCAAGCTGAAAAAAAGATTGACAAAAAAAAAAATGCTGAACAAAAAATAAAAAAATGGTCCATTTAAAAAAAATAAAAGATCTAGCTGTGGTCTGGGGAAGTTCGATATGTTCTCTAACAAAATTACAGAAATGGGTGTATTTATTATAAGATTATGTGACAATTAGTGAAATAGAGTCCGTCTATTTAGAATGATGTGTTTTCTGGAGGCAGAAGTTTCCTCCTTCACTTGTGAAGGGATTCCAATCAACATGAGTGATTTCTTATATTTATGCAAGCCACAAATGTTTTTTTTTTTTCTTGTGTACCATTTTTGTCACTAACATATTTTGCACCTTCAAGGTGCCAGGTATGTTATGTAAGCCAATGCATAAAAATACCAGAGAAAAAACAAAATAGTTTTAATATAGTTTTTAGCTAGACAAACCTTTGGAATGTCCAAGAGATAAATAAATATTCAAGGATTGCATACATTAGCCACACACAAACAGAGAATTTTGCGGGAGAGAGAACGATATATACACACACAAACATGAAACACAGAAAAAATATTTTTGATTAAATCATTTTCTAGTTATGAATAATTTAAAGTCCGTAACATCCATTTTCAGTGATTTATATTCAACAACATCTGTCCATAGATGTTGTTTCATAACCTTCCCTTTAGGAAACAGAAATATTAATTCTGCATCGTAAAACAGGATACTAAAACATAATAAAGCGAAAAAACAGAATTCATAAAAAAAAAATGCACAATACTATGATACATTAAATGTAAAACATACACACAACATATGGACCGTGAAACCGTTTTTTTAATACATGGCTTTTTATATTAATTTTCACACAGCCACAAGCAATGCACACTAAAACCTCAAAAAGATAAGAGGACTTTAGAATTAATTTTCATAAACTGTTCTGCTATTAGTGTTCATTATCAGCTTTGGTTAGATGGAAGTCTGACGTACTTATTATATACGTATCCGTTTATTGAAATTTTTCTATTTCATGGAGGTGACTTGTTATTCGTTATAGTGTCAGATTTACGCATGACATAATGCTTATTTTATACATTATGCTTTTTATTTCCTAGGCCATCTTCAGCCTTAAAGCATTTGTGTTTATTAAGTACAGGTGGCATTTATATTACATTAATTTTATCCAAACTGACCATGTAACACGTTCTAGAAAAAGCTTTGGTAGGAGTAATTATAATAATATATAAGACACCTACCAACCAAACACTGTTCAACACATCTTTGCAATTTTATGGATGTTCATGATGTTTTGATTATTTGCAATGGGCATCTCTGATCCGGGAGCAGATTTCTGTTCTGCATATTTGTGTTTTATTATCAATAATTACTTGGAATATTAGAAGTACACAGAACAATTTAAGGTATTATATGAAATACTATTTTAGTTAAAAGAAACTGGTAAGAATAGCGCTTCAGGGGATGTTAAAACCTTACTTGTAAGCACGCCAGTTTAGCAGTCAAACACTGTCACGAACGCACCCTACTCCAAGAGTGTGCGTGACGTAGTTGTGGTGGTGAAAGGGTTAAAGTACACTATTTGTCTGCACTAGACCGGAAATAATGACAAAATCCCCCTTTAACACCACCCACACTTAAACATAATAATATAACTATTACTACTTTAACGCTGCCACCACCAAGACAATTTATAAATGGGGTGCCTTGGTCCCCCAGGTAAATCAATAATAAAACCCACCAAATATTACTTAGTACAATATTTAAGGAATTATAAAAATACTAACTAGTCTCTTCAGGTAACGTGATTCTTAACCAGACAAAGGCAAAACTTAATAAATGAATGTTTATTATGAGCAAAAGATGGTCACAGTGCATATAAAAATATATGATAAACAAATTAGTTACACCAACAACAGATAAAAACAAAAAGGATAAAATACAGAAGTCCTAATTACTCACTTAGGTTTTTCAAAGTACAACTTCTGTCCAGGGGGTCTCTGGCAAGGAAAGATGGTGACTCACCCAAAATTAGATCTTGGCCCCAAGCAAGTACACAAACACCCTTCAGGATCATTAGATATATACCCTGTGGTTTATCAAGTCTTGCCCAGGGGTGGAGTTAAGGCGTACCTACAGAAATAATAACTGACCACCTCCTTTGTTCCAGACCACTGTCAATCCAAATGGAAACATTTGACTCTATCTTCTTTTTTGTACCTGCCACAGAAATAATAATTGCATCTACAAATTTGTTATTATTTTCCCATTCCATAGACATGTTGCACGTCCCACCCACGATCCAATAGGACGGACATCACAATTCCTTTCCCTAGGGTCAAGTTAGGCCACTCATGTTTGGACTTGGTTAGAAGACGGCACTTGTCACATTCCAAATATAACAAAAATGAGGCTTAATTATTATTCTGTGGGGGTAAATGTGAATGTTTTTCTCCTTCCTTTGGATATGATACTAGAACAAAGCTAATGGCATTTACATATCAAAGAGATTTAATCATCACTTACAAGGTATAGGCCAAATGGATGAAGAGACATTCAGACTTTTTCCAAGTGTAGAACCTCACACCTTGCAGACTTCACATCCATACAGTAAAATCCTTTTCACATTCCTATGCCATTCACACTACCCCTTCTGTCGTCTGCCCTCTGTGGTGGTCCCAGCTTCAAAAGATGTAACCCCTGTTGACCTCAGCAATAGCATCTCTGTAATTTGTGCCATCTACTACAAGAAATCACATTAAAAGATGATATTCCATAGTGTCATAATAAATTATACACCCTTGCCGTGACAAACACTGTTTTTTTTTTTTTTGCTTTGTGTTATTTTATTGTGCATTTTACAGTTTATTAATATATTGCCCATTGTGAACAATCATATACAGTGAATGTTTTTTAAATATTAAAACAAACCTTGGGCATGCTGGGGATATCTAATCCAGGAGGAACTGGCACTGTTCATATTGTAAATTTTATAAAAATGATTGTATTTAAGTGATCTGTAGAAGCCAGAATAGGATAGTGAAGCATTGACCATGAGATCAAGAGTGTATGATACACCCAATGCTCTTCTTTTCATTAAATATAGACATTATTATGGTATTGCGCTATTTGTGTGTTCCTTTTTGTATTTTACAGAGCTTTTCTAAAAGTCTGTTCTTTGTGTTAGAAAGGACTGAGAACCAAGCATTTTAGCATTCCATGCAATAGAATTCAGACTTTAATCTACAACTGAACTTCCCCCAAAATGTGACACTTGGAGAGTATTTCTGGTCTGATTATAGCAGGCAAAATTGCAAAGATATATAGAATAAGAAATAAGTGAAACATAATATGCAGAATACCAGGGAGCAGTCCCAGAATGATAGTACAGGTTTCAGAATTCAGGACAATTCCACTAAATCCGAGAATGTTGGGAACATTAGTTACTAAAATCTACTCCAATAGATGCAATCACAGTTTCTTAACAAGCAAATCACTTTATATCCTGACATGCTTCGTGGGTTAAAGGGGCTACAATTACTGCATTTTTGCACATACTAATCTGATATATTACCAATGCAAACAATTGTAATTTTAAGACATGACAGGAAGCTTAATACTCAACCAATAGCTGTCAGGATTACTGTTTGATCCAGCACGTAGAACTGTACAGCACGGATGACAAATAAGTAACGTATTACCGGTCCTTAGAATGGCCGGATTTAACGTACAAAGAATAGTCAAAAATACTAGCCGAGGTCAGGGAACACAGAAAGGGACACAGCGATGAGGAAAGCCAGGAGTCAGGATACCAGAATATAGAGAAGTCAATAAACAAAGCCAAAGTCAAAAACCAGGTAGAAAACTATAAACAGGAACGCGCTCTCAGACAACCACAAGGGAAACCACGACAGGGCACTGAGCAGGCTGAGAACTGGGCCTAAATACCCCTCCTTTAGTTCTGATAGGCTGTAACCGGCCTTTGACCCCAAATTCAGTTACCAGGTTTCATTTGCATAATTGCTGCTCAGCATTAACCCTTCTGTGGATTAGGTTGCTGCTCGGCACAACTTTTCCTGTGTGGACAGTAAATGTCATTAACCACTTTTCTATAAGCGGATGAATACATGAGACCAGGTTTCATTTGCACAATTACTGCTTAGCATTAACCCTTCTGTGGATTAGGTTGCTGCTCGGCACAACTTTTCCTGTGTGGACAGTAAATGTCATTAACCACATTTCTATAAGCGGATGAATACGTGACAATAGCAACACAAGTGAACAGGAAATTAACCAATCATAAATCAACAGAGGCAATTTAAGCCCTAGCCCAAAAAAACACCTCCTCTTTCTTTGCTTCTCCCGGACAAGTCACTATCATTTATTGGATTAATACGATAATCTTCGACTTTGTTCAACGTGTATGCCTTACTCATTTCCTTTTACATTCTCATTTTGTTTCTTTTATCCTTTCCCATTTATTCACCTTAACCTATATATTGCCCCTAGTTTTCTGCTTTCAGATCAGGGCTAACTTCCAATCTTTACATTTGTTCTTCCTCTTATTCCAGTCACTATGCGTTTTTCCTTTCACTGCCACCCTAAATTAAGATGTGTATGTCGCTGTATTCTGCTTGAGCTATTTATGTGTGCTGCAGTTTCTTTGTAGCATTGTATTTGTAAGTATGTGGGCTGTTATATTGTGTATTTTCATGAGCAGTTTGTGATATTGTGAATGATTCCTATGAATGTGTATGGGGGCTGCTTGTAGAATTGTGTATGTGGATGATATGTCACGTTTGTTTGGTGGTGTGTGTACGTAAAGGGCTGCCTGTGGTATTGCATGTGAGAGGCTGCTTGTGGGGTTGTGTGCGTGAATGTGGATAGTCTGTGTGGTTGTGGGACCTGTATCTGTGCTTGTGTGTGGGTTACTTGTATTATTTTTATGTGATGGAGGCTTCTTCTGCAGCCTTCTAGCAGTGTGGGTGGCTTTCCCGGGTTCTATAGGGAAGTGGACTGGCCAGGAACAGGTTAAGGGCAGGAGTGGGCTACTCTACTCACTTCACAAGTGTGGGGAGTGTTACAAGGTATAAATTGAGGATTGTCCCTCCCCACCTGCAATCTCAGCTCAGTTTGCACTAATAGTTATCTGAAGTTCCACTGGCACATGTGCCATAGATTGCTGACCCTTGATCTAGGGTAACCCCATTCTAGCTGGCATATGAGAGTAGCTCAAGGCCAGCTACAATTCCAATTTACACATGGTTTCAAGGGCACTATTGTATCCCTCTTGCATGTGGCATATACATATACCATAAATAACACTGGTTGGTATTCTACCTGTGTGAGCCCCAGAAGACTACAGTAAGAAAAAAAAGTATTTGACCCCCTGCTGATTTTGCACGTTTGTCCACTGACAAAGAAACGATCAGTCTATAAGTTTAATGGTAGGTGTATTTTAACAGTGAGAGACAGAATAACAAAAAAAAAAATCAAGAAAAACGCATGGCAAAAAATTGATTTGCATGTCAATGAGTGACCTGTATAAAAGACACCTGTCAACAGAAGCAAATAAATCATCTAGATTTCAAACTCTCCACCATAGCCAAGGCCAAAGAGCTGTCCAAGGATATCAGGGACAAGATTCTAGACCTACACAAGGCTGGAATGGGCTACAAGTCCATCACCAAGCAGCTTTGCAAGAAGGTGACAAAAGTTGGTGCAATTATTAGCAAATGGAAGAAACACAAAATAACGTCCTGTCTCCTTCGGTCTGGTGGTCCATGCAAGATCTCACCTCATGGAGTTTCAATGATCATGAGAAAGGTGAGGAATTAGCCCAGAACTACACGGGAGGATCTGGTTAATGATCTCAAGGCAGCTGGGACCATAGTCACTAAGAAAACAATTGGTAACACACTACGTCGTGAAGGACTGAAATCCTGCAGGGCCCGCAAGGTCCCCCTGCTCAAGAAAGCACATGTACAGGCCCGTCTGAAGTTTACCAATGAACGTCTGAATGATTCAGAGGAGAACTGGGTGAAAGTGTTGTCGTCAGATGAGACCAAAATCGAGCTCTTTGGCATCAACTCAATTTGCCGTGTTTGGAGGAGGAGGAGGAGGAGGAATGCTGCCTATGACTCCAAGAACACCATCCCCACTGTCAAACATGGAGGTGGAAACATTATGCTTTAGGGGAAGTGGGGGGGGGGATGTTTCTACTAAGGGGAGAGGACAACTGCACCACATCAAGGGGACGATGGATGGGGCCATGTACCATCAAATCTTGGATGAGAACCTCCTTCCCTCAGCCTGAGCACAGGAAATTGGTCATGGATGGGTATTCCAGCATGACAATGACCCAAAACAAAAGGCCAAGGCAACAAAGAAGAAACACATTAAAGCCCTGGAGTCTCCAGACCTTAATTCAATAGAAAATCTGTGGAGAGAGCTAAAGGTTCGAGCTGCCAAACGTCAGCCTCGAAATCTTAATGAAATAGAGAGGATCTGCAAAGAGGAGTGGGACAAAATCCCTCCTGAGATGTGTGTAAACCTCATGGCCAACCAAAAGAAAAATTTGACCTCTGTGATTGCCAACAAGGGTTTTGCCACCATGTACTAAGTCGAAGAGGTCAAAAACTTATTTATCTCATTGACATGCAAATCAATTTATAACTTTTGTGACATGCGTTTTTCTGGATTTATTTTTTGTTATTCTGTCTCTCACTGTTAAAATACACCTACCATTAAAATTACAGACCAATCAATTCTTTGTCAGTGGGCAAATGTTCAAAAGCAGCAGGGGAGGAAATACTTTTTCCCCTCACTGTAACACCTATTTCATGGTACATCTTACAGGTGTCATAATTGCTAGACACACTGATGTCCTGTATATTGCCAGTTTTATAACATATTGGCTGCACAAACCCCAGTACAGTGATCATTGGATATGTGTGCATCCTTCTTGTCCAATCCTATGCTATTTCAGCTGATTTGTGTATTTGTCCATATTAATATACTACTGGACTGCTACTTCATATGAATCTCAGAATCAAGAATTCCAATCCATGATCAACACAGACATTGCTGCATCAATAGAGAAGGCCATTTCCAAAGTCCTTATTTAGCTCCCTAATGATGAACCCTGGGAGGTGGGCTTTGACGTTCCAGCCAGATCTCTCTCCAAGCCCACTAAGAGGCATTGGAAGGGTTCATCTGTGACTTTTCATGTGTCCAAAGAAAAATCCCCAAACATCCCTGGGAAACCTGTGGATGAGACCAAATTCAGTGTGCACCAGACTTCTGCTAACTGGTGAATGGCAAGTGGACTAGTTGATTTCATAGGGTGGTTACGAATGGGGAAAGACCCTCATGTCACAATATATGAAAGAGTAGATTGTTGGGGAACCTCAAGCTCCTGTCCTTTCCACCAAGGAGGAGATATTTCTGGATGCCAACAGCATTATTTGACTGAAGACATATCTGTCATCCTCTTTCCTCCGAATGGTCCCTCGCAGAACACCGAGCAAGGTTCATCCATGTTTGGCTGCACAAGTCACATGAAAAAGAGTTATTCAACTGATTAAGAGCAGAATATCCTAGACCTT